ACTACACACACACAGCCTGAGCACCACACACACTACCTACACACCTCACACACATTGAGTACCTCACACACACACACCTGAGCACCACACACACACACCTGAGCACCACACACACCACCTGAGCACCACTCACCTCGTATCCTTGAAGGTGGTGCGTTTCTAACTGGGCTCGCGGCCAGTCCACTGACGTCACCATTAGCCTGGATAAGAACGTTTAGTCAAGTGTTGAAGTATGACGTCAGTGTTGGTGTGGATGAGCCCTGAAGTGGTGGAGAAGTGATGATATGGTGTTGGAGATGCGTCGACACTTATTAACAAGTGTTGGTGGGGATTTAATACTTACCATCACGTTTTGGGGATACGAGTGTGTTGGTGGAGTGTTGGAGTGCTGGTAAGGCGATGGAGGCGTGTTGGTGAAGTGTTGGAGGCTAAATTACCCTCAACTCTTAAGGCCACATATAGCCACCTCATTCAGGTTCTCTCCCAAATGTAATAATATGACCTACCAATAGTTGACCTAATGATGACCCCCTCGAACTGTGTGTCCAGGTCAGGTCACGTACCGGAATCTGTGTGACCACTTCTGGGTCACTGAGGTCGAGAGACTTCACAGACAGACAGACAGACAGACAGACAATGAGACAAATAATAAACTCTCTCTCGGCCTTGTGTTAGGTCGTTCCGTCAACTTCCCGTCTGGCTCAGCTCTCACTGGGCGGAAGTGGCCAATCCAGTCTGTGCTGACGGCGGTGCTGACAAGTGCTGACGGCGGTAAAGACAAGTGCTGACGGACGTGTTGCTCGGTGTTGCTGGGTCATACTAGGTGTTGCTGGGTCATACTAGGTGTTGCTGGGTCATACTAGGTGTTGCTGGGTCATACTAAGTGCTGCTGAATGATACTATGTGTTGCTGGGTGATACTAGGTGTTGCTGTGTGTTCCTAGGTGTTGCTGGGTGTTATTATGTGTTGCTAGGTGATACTAGGTGTTACTGGGTGATGCTAGGATTTGCTGGATCATATTGGGTGTTACTGTGTGGTGTTGGGTGTTGCTGGATCATATTGGGTGTTACTGTGTGGTGGTGGGTGTTGCTGGTCATCTTGGGTGTTACTGGGTGGTGCTAGGATTTGCTGGATCATATTGGGTGTTACTGTGTGGTGTTGGGTGTTGCTGGATCATATTGGGTGTTACTGTGTGGTGTTGGGTGTTGCTGGGTCATATTGGGTGTTACTGTGTGGTGCTGGGTGTTGCTGGGTCATATTGGGTGTTACTGTGTGGTGCTGGGTGTTGCTGGGTCATATTGGGTGTTACTGTGTAATTGGTGGGTGTTCACTAGGTCATATTAGATGTTACTGTGTGGTGTTAGGTATTACTGGAGTCATATTAGGTGTTACTGTGTGGTGGTGGAGTGTGCTAGATCATCTTAGATGTTACTGTGTGGTGCTGGGTGTTCACTGGGTCATATTAGGTGTTACTGTGTGGTGGTGGATGTTAACTGGAGTCATATTAGTGTTACTGTGTGGTGGTGGAGTGTGCTGGAGTCATGATATGGGTGTTACTGTGTGGTGCTGGGTGTTACTGAATCATCTTGGCGGTGCTGGGCGGTCGCTGGGTGGTGCTGGGTACACCCAGCGGTGCTGGGCGGTGCTGGGTGGTGCTGGGTACCAACGGTGCTAGGCGGTGCTGGGTGGTGCTGGGTGCAGCGGTGCTAGGTGGTGCTGGGTGTCTGGGTGCGGCGGTGCTGGCGGTGCCTGGGTGGTGCTGGGTGCTAGGCGGTGCTGGGTGGTGCTAGGTGTGCTGGTGTTGCGGCGGTGCTAGGCGGTGCTTGGTGGTGCTGGGTGTTACTTGGCGGTGCTAGGCGGTGCTGGGTGGTGCTGGTAATAGAGTAAGACGTGCTGAATATAACCTTAGTAATTTTAGCCTAATGTCTATAATGATGAACTGTGTGATTGTGGTGTTGTTGAGTTATTACTATTATTAGTGGTGGTGTTTACTGTTCTTATTTTATTATTGTTATTGGTGTTTTATTTTGTTATTGTTTGTTATTGCTTACATTATTATTATTATTATTATTATTAGTAGTAGTAGTAGTAGTAGTAGTAGTAGTAGTAGTAGTAGTAGTAGTATTGTTATCGAAACACTAGTGCCCAACACTTGGCAGGAGTTAACCTGGTAGCCCCCCTCCCCCCAACCCCGGACAGTCAACCACGAGGGCCCGGCCCGGCCAGGCCAGGCCAGGCCAGGCTGGGCCGGACCGGGCCGGCCCGGCCTGGCCTGGCCGGTGAGCCGCCACTTGTCTTCATAACTCCAGGCTATTTTAGTCCGTGAAGGCCGGAATGCGCAGCTAAAATATATTGAATAGTCGCCCTCCGTGGGTGGACCGGGCTGATACTGCCAATGGCGGCCGGGCTCTCACCCTCCATCATCTTACGGTCGCTTTATACTGACAAACGTCTTGTAAGAGTGGAACTTTATCTTCAGCCGAGGCGTGTTGTGTAGGAGAGAGGTGAGGAGGTGCTGGTAATAGGTAATGGAGATATATAACAGGCGGAGAGGTGTTAAATCATTGAGGGTGTTTTAGGCAGGGAAGTTGGTAACACTGGCGGACGGGCGGCTGGGCAGCGGGTCGCTGCTTTACTATGTCAAGGTAAATTGTATTATTGCCAAATTTGTGATATTTCCTCCAGGCTGCACACCACTTTCCCGCCTCATAGGTTTTATGGTACATCGTTTATTTGTTTTGTTTTAATGAGTTGTATATTGTGTGAGTTTGTGAGAGTGTGAAGGACAAGTAATACAGAAGGTGTTGTCACAGGGTTACTCGCCACCTTAACTTGGTAACACTGAAGACTCGGGGGTTGCTGCAGGATCTCACCCAGCAAGACGACCACTGTTACAGAAATACCACGAACATCATTGATATATTATTAATTTTATTTTCTTAAGCACACGACCATAACCTACACTTATCCTAACCTCACGCCGCTAGGATTAGTTCTGGGGTAGCTTAGGGTAACTGAGGTTAGTTAATGTCACTGTGAATAACAAATATGAGAGTAGTTTTCATGTTCGTGGTAATTTTATGAACATTTATGGTTTTATTCACTGCCCCCCCCCCCTAAACAGAAGTGGTTGTTTTTTACCCCTAACTTACAACGCCTTGCATTAGTTACTACAATGAATTACCTGTTTTAAGTATCTACACTGTAATTTTGTAAGTAATAAGTAACTATACATTACCAACACGCAGTCCTATACACTTACTCGTGCCACACATCATTATTAACTACTTAAAAGTATTGGCGTATTGTTAAGTATCGAATATTGTAAGTAATTAGGTACTTATATTTTCTCAACATACACAACTTTACACTTAACTTACATTCCATTATCTACTTAAGTAAATTACCTCTGTTAAGTAATTAATTGTGTTAGTACTTGTGATAATTATTCTTCACTTATATTGTCTTCACCTGACCAGCTCTTAATTACAGGTGAGGAGGGTGAGAAATGAGGAGAGTGAGTAAGATATGACAGGTGGGGAGAGTGAAAGGTGAAGAAAGTGAGAGGGTGAGGATAATGAGTATGAGATGTGATGAAAGTGAGAGTGTGAGAATGAGTGTGTGAGAGGTGACAGGTGGAGAGAGTGAGTGCATGGGGGGTGAAGAAAGAGGTGCGAAAGGTGAGGAAAGTGAGAGGGTGAAAAGTGAGGAAAGTAAGTCTAAGAGGTGAGGAAAAGGAGAGTGTCTTCTTCATGACAGAGTTTATTCACTCTGGCAACACTAGAACTACAGTACGTTAATTGAAGTTTGGCTTAACTTAAGTTAGTTTTTTTTACGGGATTAGCCCACCAGGCCACAGGTCAATGACCCACATCAGGGCCTGGGGGCGAAAATATACTGATAATAATAATGATAATGATAATAATAATGATAATAATAATAATAATAATAATAATAATAATAATAATGATAATAATAATAATAATAATGATAATAATAATAATAATAATAATAATAATAATAATAATAATAATAATAATAATAATAATAATAATAAACAAGATCAATAGTAAGAGAAACAATTGAGACCCAACAATTGTGTGTAAATGAGGCAGAAAGTTAGATCAGCAACCTAGAACTTGGTCACAATTTTCGTGATGCCATATGGGTAGGTTAGGCGAGGTTAGGCTAGGTGAAATTAAATTAGGTGAGAGTAGGTTAAGTTAGGTTAAGCTAAGTGACGTTGGTTAGGTGAAGTTATATTAGGTGAGAGTAGGTTAGGTTAGGTTAGCGTGTATAATCAGCAGGTGAACTTAGGGGTGTAGTTTGTTAGACATATTTGTTTACTCCTATCGTATGCCTGGAAAAGGTAAAAGACCCGTTACAGCATTTTGACTTCTTGGTACAGCATACTTACATTCGTTACAGCATTTCGTCTTCTTTTACAGCATACTGAACTTTGCTACAGAATTTTGAGTTCTTGATACAGAATACTAATCTTCGTTACAGCATTTTGACTTCTTGGTACAGCATACTTACATTCGTTACAGCATTTTTATCCCAGTTATGACATAGGCCCTACTGACCCCTATTAACGGCATTACTAAATGACCTGTTACATCATTATGACCCCTGTTTCAGCATTATGACTCTTGTTACAGCATTATAACTCTTATTACAGCATTATGACCCCTATTACAGCATTATAAATCTTGATACAGTACTATTACCTTTGTTACAGAATTATGACCCATGTTACAGCAATAAAACTTGTTACAGAAATGTGACTTGTTACAGCATTGACCCCGTAATTACAGCATTGACCCCCTAATTACAGCATTCTGACTCGTTACAGCATTGACCTAATTACAGCATTATGACCTCCTAATTAGAGCATTATGACTCTCGTTACAGCATTATGACCCCCTAATTACAGCATTATAACCCTCTAATTTCATCATTGTGACCTCCTAATTACAGCATTATGTCTCTCGTTACAGCATGAGTGGTACCCGGAGAGCCGCGATGCTGCTGCCGCTTTTGCCTCTGCTGCTTCTGGCGGCATTGCTGAGGCCGGCGAACTGTTGCGAGTACCAGGCCGTAGACTCCCGCCATACCATGTGTAGCTTCCGTCCTGGACAGTGTTCCGGCAAGACCCTCTTGCGTGAGTACCCTGTCTGCCTGTCCGCCTGTCTGTCTGTCTTTTCTTGTCTGTTTTCACTTTCTATCTTTTCTCTCTCTTTCTTCACTTGTCTGCTCTTCCTTTCTCTTCTCGTCTCTCTCTCTCTCTTTGTCAGGTAGCAACAGCATATTCAGAATTTTCTACCCTGTAAACTAGTTCATGATTTCGCCACCAGAGAGAGAGAGAGAGAGAGAGAGAGAGAGAGAGAGAGAGAGAGGGTGTTTCTCAGACTCTTCTCTCATAAACCTTGGCCTCCTCCTCATCTACCTCACTGTTATGTATATTTATATTATCATTGGTCTGTGTTCTTCTCTGTTCTTTCTTCAAGCTTTAAGAACTGATGAAGAACATAGATGTGTGAGGTTCAATAGCATATGTTATTGTAATCATATAAGGGTTTAAGTCATAGTACTCAAGGGGTTCTAGTACTCAAGGGACTAGGTTATAGTACTCAAGGGGTTAGGTTATTGTACTCAATGGATTAGGTTATAGTACTGGAGGGGTTAGGTTATAGTACTCAAGGGATTAGGTTATAGTACTCAAGGGGTTAGGTTATTGTACTCAATGGATTAGGTTATAGTACTGGAGGGGTTAGGTTATAGTACTCAAGGGATTAGGTTATTGTACTCAAGGGGTTAGGTTAAGGTACTCAAGGGAATAGGTTATGGTACTAAAGGGGTTAAGTCACAGTACTCAAAGACTGTAAGCGTCGTTGTCTACGGGTTAAGACGTCGTACTCGAATGGTTAAGACGTCGTACTCGAATGGTTAAGACGTCGTACTCTAAGGGTCAAGACGTTGTACTCTACGGGTTAAGACGTCGTACTCTATGGGTTAAGACGTCGTACTCTACGGGTTAAGACGTCGTACTCTACGGGTTAAGACGTCGTACTCTACGGGTTAAGACGTCGTACTCTAAAGCTAAGACGTCGTACTCTCGGGTTAAGACGTCGTACTCTAAAGGCTAAGACGTCGTACTCTACGGGTTAAGACGTCGTACTCACAGGTTAAGACGTCGTAATCTACGGGTTAAGACGTCGTACTCACCGGGTTAAGACGTCGTACTCTCCGAGTTAAGACGTCGTACTCTACGGGTTAAGACGTCGTACTCTGAGTTAAGACGTCGTACTCTAAAGGCTAAGACGTCGTACTCTATGGGTTAAGACGTCGTACTCTACGGGTTAGACGTCGTACTCTACGGGTTAAGACGTCATACTCTACGGGTTAAACGTCGTACTCTCCGGGTTAAGACGTCATACTCTGAGTTAAGACGTCGTACTCTACGGGTTAAGACGTCGTACTCTACGGGTTAAGACGTCGTACTCTAATGGTTAAGACGTCGTACTCTCCGGGTTAAGACGTACCTCTAAAGCTAAGACGTCGTACTCTACGGGTTAAGACGTCGTACTCTGAGTTAAGACGTCGTACTCTACGGGTTAAGACGTCGTACTCTGAGTTAAGACGTCGTACTCTACGGGTTAAGACGTCGTACTCTCGGGTTAAGACGTCGTACTCTACGGGTTAAGACGTCGTACTCTCTGGTTAAGACGTCGTACTCTAATGGTTAAGACGTCGTACTCTACAGGGTTAAGACGTCGTACTCTACGGGTTAAGTCGTATCTCTAATGGTTAAGACGTCGTACTCTGGGTTAAGACGTCGTAATCTACGGGTTAAGACATCGTACTCTAAGGGGTTAAGACGTCGTACTCTAATGGTTAAGACGTCGTACTCTATGGGTTAAGACGTCGTACTCTACAGGTTAAGACATCGTACTCTAAGGGGTTAAGACGTCGTACTCTAATGGTTAAGACGTCGTACTCTACGGGTTAAGACGTCGTACTCTGAGTTAAGACGTCGTACTCTACGGGTTAAGACGTCGTACTCAATGGTTAGAAGTCGTAATCTACGGGTTAAGACGTCGTACTCTACGGGTTAAGACGTCGTACTCTACGGGTTAAGACGTCGTACTTCGGTTAGACGTCGTACTCTACGGGTTAAGACGTCGTACTCTGGGTTAAGACGTCGTACTCTGGTAAGACGTCGTACTCTAATGGTTAAGACTTCGTACTCTACGGGTTAAGACGTCGTACTCTACGGGTTAAGACGTCATTACTCGGGTTAAGACGTCGTACTCTACGGGTTAAGACGTCTTACTCTCACGAGTTTAAACGTCGTACTCTACGGGTTAAGACGTCGTACTCTGGTTAAGACGTCGTACTCTACGGGTTAAGACGTCGTACTCTACGGTTAAGACGTCATACTCTACGGGTTAAGACGTCATACTCTACGGGTTAAGACGTCGTACTCTCTGGGTTAAGACGTCGTACTCTCCGGGTTAAGACGTCGTACTCTCACGGGTTAAGACGTCATACTCTACGGGTTAAGACGTCATACTCTACGGGTTAAGACGTCATACTCTACAGGTTAAGATGTGCTCTATAAGGTTAAGACGTCGTACTCTACGGGTTAAGACGTCGTACTCTACGGGTTAAGACGTCATACTCTACGGGTTAAGACGTCGTACTCTACGGGTTAAGAGTTTATCACTATTTTCAGCTTATTAATATTCAGTTGAGTGACACAGAATATTATGATGAATAAGATTTTACTCATTGTGCCTGTTAATATTAGCATCCCGTTGAGTAAGAGTTAACCTAACGTATTGTTTTATGGTGTGTGGGTGGGTGGGTGTGTAATAATAATAATAATAATAATAATAATAATGATAATAATAATAATAATAATAATAAACGGTTTATTAAGAGAATTGTGCCGGTGGCTGAAAATATACACTTACATTTGATTTAGACATAATGATATAATATGCATTGAATACATTTACAGGGCTGTACAGTACATAAATCAGGCGTTGTGTGTGTGTGTGTGTGTGTGTGTGTGTGTGTGTGTGTGTGGACGCAAAAGAAATCATCACTGCAAAAATATAATCGGTAAAACTTTAATGTTTGTTACACAGCTGACCATACTAATGATGACCTTTGTGAGTATAATGCATGTACCACGACACTACCCTCAGGTGTACCACGACACTACCCTCAGGTGTACCACGACACTACCCAGGTACACACCGTCCGACTCCCGTAACACCACCACCCCCCGCACCCAGGTCCACGACACACCGGTGCCACAACCCTCAGGTGTACCACGACACTACCTCAGGTGTACCACAACACTACCCCAGGTGTGCCACGACACTACCCCAGGTGTACCACGACACTACCCTCAGGTGTACCACGACACTACCCTCGGGTGTACCACAAGACTACCCAGGTGTACCACGACACACCCTCAGGTGTACCGACACTACCCCAGGTGTCCACGACACTACCTCAGGTGTACCACGACCTACCCCAGGTGTACCACAACACACCCCAGGTGTACCACGACACTACCCCAGGTGTACCACGACACTACCCCAGGTGTACCACGACACTACCCCAGGTGTACCACGACACTACCCTCAGGTGTACCACGACACTACCCTCAGGTGTACCACGACACTACCCTCAGGTGTACCACGACACTACCCCAGGTGTACCACGACACTACCCTCAGGTGTACCACGACACTACCCTCAGGTGTACCACGACACTACCCTCAGGTGTACCACGACACTACCCCAGGTGTACCCGACACTACCCTCAGGTCACGACACTACCAGGTGTACCACGACACTACCCTCAGGTGTACCACGACACTACCCTCAGGTGTACCACGACACCCTCAGGTGTACCACGACACTACCCCACCACTCCCATCCACGAACTCCCAGGTGTACCACACCCCTCAGGTGCACGACACTACCCCAGGTGACCACACTACCCCGGTGTCCACGACACTACCCCGGGTGTCCACAAGACTACCCTCAGGTGTCCACGACACTACCCTCAGGTGTACCACAAACCCCAGGTTCCACGACACTACCCAGGTCACACCAGTGTCCAGACACACCCGGTGTACCACAAGACTACCCCGCCGCCCTCACACACAGGTGTACCACGACACTACCCTCAGGTGTACCACGACACTACCCCAGGTGTCCACAACACTACCCTCAGGTGTCCACGACACCCCGGGTGTACCACAAGACCCCCAGGTGTACCACAACACCCCGTGACCCACTACCCTCAGGTGCCACAACACTACCCTCGGTGTACCACGACACTACCTCGGTGTACCACAAGACTACCCCAGGTGTACCACAACACTACCCTCAGGTGTACCACGACACTACCCTCGGGTGTACCACAAGACTACCCCAGGTGTACCACAACACTACCCTCGGGTGTACCAGCACAAGGGAAGAGGTGGTGGATGGCGTGGGCAGGTGTACCGTCACACACCAATACACCTCAATGGGTGGCTCAGGTCACGGAGCCAACACCCTCCTGAACAACCACCAGCCTCTGAGGGGGAGAAGCGTCTCTATGTAAAGCTGTGACAGAGGCAATAATGGCGCGCCCATCACCAGGTCAAGCTTGAAAGTGGTGCAGCTTATTGAGAATTACTGCTGGGCCAATACCTATTAACGGGAAGGTAGGGGGGAGTCATTAGTACCCACAATTAGGAACCACTTGTCCATTGACTAAATTACACCCCTCCCCCACAACCCCTAATTACCTCATTATAATACATACATATATATATATATATATATATATATATATATATATATATATATATATATATATATATATATATATATATATATATATATATATAAAAGAAAGTGTGTGTGTGTGTGTGTGTGTGTGTATGTAGTATGTATAAAATATATTGTGTTACGAAATATGAATAAATTATGGTTACTAAATTTAATAATACGCATGTTAGTGTTTAGTTTTCCTGGTGTCAGGGAGTGTCTGGTGTCAGGGAGTGTCTGGTGTCGTGCTGTGTCTGGTGTCAGGGGAGTGTCTGAGTGGTCAGGGAGTGTCTGGTGTGGTGCTGTGTCTGGTGTCAGGGAG